GGCTGTTCCCTTCCTCTTTTCTTTGCCTCTTTGCCTTTTGGCTGTGTGCAAGTGGGTCGATATGACACACGGGGGGTGGGGGCAGCCGCCGCTCACCCTACATCCACGTGGGCGGCCTTGTACGCAAGAGGTTCTGAACAGGGGGAGTTTTGTAAGGAAGAAGATTAAAAACGAATTAAGTTTTTTTTGTTTTCCTTGGTTTCTTTCTGTTTTTTCGCTTTGGCGCTCTGATATCAGGTGACAATATATTATGTATAATTTTTTTCTTATTCTTTCTTTGGGTATTTTTAACTGACCAGGGTTTTGTTTGCTATATATCTTCAGAAAGGTATATTTTTGGTTCGCTATATATGTTTCGTTTTCTATTTATGTTTTATTTGCTATATGGATTTTGAAAACCCCGAGGTTCACCCTGCTGAGCCTGCTCTCTCTCTCTCTCTATATATATATATATTTTTTTTTTTTTTTAATTTGTTGATTTGTTTTTGACATGCTACATACGTATTAGGGAGGCGGTAAGCAGATGGAACACTACTAAGTAAAACGAAGAAAAGAGAGAACACAAGGGAGGCCGGGGGGTAGGGGGAGGGGGCGGCGGGAAGGGAAAGAAACGAAACGAAAGAGTTCTTAGGGTATATACACACAACCAGGATTTTTTTCGATTCAGCTCTGGACGTGACTGCGGTCAGATGCATCCAGGTCCGGCCGTAATCGCGGTCAGATACGTTTAGAAAAAGTTCTATTGTAGTGTGAGTATGCTCGTAGTCAGAGAAAGCGCGTGCTGTGCGGACGGAAGGTTCATTGGTTGTCTAGGTGCATTCTCCTTCCTTTCTCTTCCCTTTTTCACGATATTAATTATTTTGTTTTTTCTATAATTTTGGAGCAATTTCATTTTCTCATATTGTCTTCAAAAAAAAAAAAAAAGATTTTATATTGCTCTCATATTCCCAATCAGGGCAAGGTAGGTAAATAAAAAATAAAAAACGAGAAAACGCGTGTTCTTCCAAATCCATCGAGCGTTGGGTTGTGCGCGTGCTGAGCTCTAGGAACCCGGTAGTCTGATATTCCTATTCTAGATCTGCTAGATCTGATTCCATCCGGATTCGAACTCATCTTTGAATTTCAACAGTTATTGGATGTTACCACTGAGCGAAACCAGTCCACGTTCGTTCGTGACCAAGTCGATCATCTGCGCGTTACTGATACCCTTTTTTTTCTGCTTTTTCTTTCATTTTTTTTTTTTTTTTTCCCGCTCCAAACACTCTTTTACTGAGACTTGCTTGTACGTGCGCAGGGGCCATGCCTCGTCACGACAGGGGCCCGGCCACTTGTAAAAAAAAAGAAGCCTTGGGCAGTGGGCCATTTGTAAAAAAAAAAAGAAGAATAAAAAAGAAGAGTTGTGCGTCCGGTTTCGAAATGGAATGGGAAGCTTGAGACCAGGCACGGAAAGCTCCTCTTTTTTTTTTTTTTTTTTTTTTCCGGTTAAACAGCAAGACCGGTTCGACGGGAAAATGGCTCTGTAAAAGTAGAACGGGCCTGAGTGGCCCGAGTAATACTGGACTCACTTTTTTTTTTTTTTTTTTTTTTTTTGTGACCCTATGGACCACAAATCAGATATTAAATTGTAAAAAAAAAAAAAGAAAAGAAAAAAAGATCAGATATTAAACTGATCAGAACAGATACTACACTTGATCTATTTTTAGCCAAAAGGCCGAGAAAGGTATGGACTCCAATTTCTGAACTGATGCAAAGAACTGCAGTTTATCAGAATCTGGTTTTGATGTCAGAACTAAGTATGCTAGCAACTGATTCAGACCTTAAGTAGGATATCATGTAGGCAAGCAAATCAGGATCACTGCATAGGTCAGCCTGCGAGCCCTTCAGTTACCTGTCATCACAACTGTATACATGATCAAACAAACATCTTATATGTTCAGGGACGCTGGACCCGCTTTCCAGCAGGTGCTGCTCCCCACCAATAG